ATATAAGTGCCCCCCCCCCCATGTCTGTGCCGGCTTAGGCCTGCCAGGCGTGAAGACCGTGCCTTTGGCTTACGGGGGCGATGCTGCAAAGATGGATGGGCTCAAGTCTGGACCCTGCCACTTCCCAGCTGCTGACCCTGGCCAATCTTAGCCTCAGTTTCCACCTTGAAAAGGAGGGTAGTAGTGGCACCTGAGCCATCATGGAAACTATAAATTTAATCTGTGCGCAATGATTGGTGCAGAGACTAAAGGGTCAGATGGTACTTTACTATTATTATTATTGTTATTATTTTTGTTTGTTTGTTTTTCGAGACAGGGTTTCTCTGTGTAGCCTTGGCTATCCTAGACTTGCTTTGTGGACCAGGCTGGCCTCGAACTCACAGAGATCTGCCTGCCTCTGCCTTCCTGAGTGCTGGGATTAAAGGTGTGTGCCACCATGCCAGGCTACGCTACATTCACTTTCCATGTAATTCCCATTTTCTTTATTTATGTTAAGTTTGATTGGTTTGGTTTTCTGAAACAGTGTTTTACTGTGTAGCCCTGGCTGGTCTTGAACTCACAGAAATCAGCCTTCCTCTGACTCTCAAACATGAGAATTAAGAGTATGAGCTTCCAGGCCCTTAATGTAGTGCTAAGGCTGGAACCAGCCTAGTGCTCTACTGACCCAGCTGCGCCCCTGCCCTCTTTATTTATTTATTGGCCCATGCTGGCCTCAAAGACACTGTATCTCGAAAATTGCCCTTGCGCCCCCGGTGTCACCCTTCCCAATCCATTGGTCTGTACCAATAGTTCTTGTTTTAAAATGAAGACAGCGGAGCTCAAGGACTAGGGAGTAGCTCAGTAGAGAGCTTGCCTGACATCCAAGAGGCCCTGGTTTGATCCCCAGAATTTTATAAATCAGAGTAGTATGCGCTGCAACCCCAGCACTGGGGAGGTGGAGGCAGAACTTCCTGGGCTATATAGTGATTTCCAGGCCAACCTGGGCTGCATGAGACCCTGTCTCAGAACAAGAAATAAAGAGGGGCCTCTGAGGTGGTTCGTTAGGTCAAGGCACTTGCTGCCAAGCCTAAGGAATGAAGTCTGAGCTACAGAACCCACGAGGTGGGCGGAGAAAAGCAGCTCCTGCCTGACTTCCAGACATGTCCCCACAAAGTAACAGACAAGGAAGAAAAAGAAGCTCAGAGCAACTGAAGAAACAAACATTAAAGGGCACTGAACACCCAAGGCTGGTTGCTCCGAGGCCTCCGCTGTCCCTTTGCCTGGCAGCCTGCCTTGCCATTTTTAGGTGGTGGTTCCCGGAATGACTCAGGTCTGTGCCAACAACAGCAATTCAGTCAGGGATTACCCCTCCCACCGAGGTGGATTCCATACTCATCTCAGAGGTTAATCCTTTATCAGCATGGCAGGGAGCATGGTATGGTGGCACGCGGGCAGACGTGGTTCGGGGGACACCTCAGAGTTCCACATCAGGATCCGCAGGCACCAGGAAAAGAGACACCAGGCCTGGCTTGGAATTTTTGTTTGTTTTGAGACAGGGTTTCTCTGTGTTATCCTGGCTGTCCTGGAACTCTGGTAGACCAGGCTGGCCTGGAACTCAGCATTCTGCCCGCTTCTGCCTCCAAGTGCTGGAATGAAAGGCGTGTGCCACCACAATCTGGTCTGTTACTATTTTTAAGTTTTTGATAACTTTAAAAAGTCTATTAGCTGGCTGTGGTGGTGCACCCCTGTAATCCCAGCACTCAGGGAAGCAGAAGCAGGCAGATCTCTGTGAGTTCCAGGCCAGCCTGGTCTACAAAGTGAGTCCAGGAAAGCCAAGGCTACACAGAGAAACCCTGTCTTGGAAACAACAACAACAAAAATAGTCTATTATATTTAGCTGGGCATGGTAGCATGTGCCTTTAATCTCAGCATTCAGGAGAGGGAGGTAGCCAGATCTCTGTGAGTTCAAGGCCAGCCTGATGTACTTACTACCAGCCAGCCAGGACTACATAGTGAGGTCCTGTCTCGAAAATAAAGTTGCATTGATTTACTTTCTTACTCTCTGTCTGTGTACAGGTGCACCAGGGCCATAGTCCTTGAGGGATGCCAGTCACCCACCGTGTGGGTTCCAGAGACAAAACTCACTCAGATCATTAGGCTTGGCAGAAAATGCCTTTACCTGCTGTAAATAACTTACAGAAAGGGGTCACTTCTCTCCTTTCCACCACAGAGGTCCTCAAGTTTGGCGGCAAGCACCTTCACCTAGAGCGCTCTCTTGCCAGCCTCTGGGCTGCACGCCCCAAGCAGCTGCACAGCTTTCTATTGCTGCATTTCTATTGCTCCAGTCTGAGGCCAGCCTGGGCTATATAGCAAAAACACGAGGACTAGAGAGTTGGAGCCAGGCACAGTGGCACACGCTTTTAATCCCAGCACTCAGGAGGCAAAAGTAGGTGGATCTCTGTGAGTTCCAAGCCAGCCAGGTCTACATAGCAAGTCCCAGGACAGCCAGGGCTACACAGAGAGACCCTGTCTCCATGCCCAGCACACACACAAAAAAGAGGACCCACAATTGATTCCCTAGCACTCATAACGCAGCTCACAACCTTCTATCACTCTACCAGACACATACGTGACACACAAGCGTACAACTTATCAAAACGCCTTACTGATAAAATACGAACAAGTTAATAAAATAAACATCAAAGCGGGGAAGAAAAAGGTGGTTCTATATATTGCCTAGCCACACTGTAATCTCTGATGCTCTCCTGAAAAAATTACCTGGTAACTCTCTCCTCATTTTTCCTATCGTGAAGCAGAGCTCGGCTGTGTTAGTCAGTGCTGTGGAACACGGAGAAAGAAATATTACCCGACTGTACAGGGAAATGCGGGAGGAAGATCAGGGGCAGCCTGGCAGCAGTCGGAGGTGGGCCTGGGCGGGAGTGGGAAGAGGCAGAAGGAGGGGTTTTAATCTGAGCAGATCCGTGGGTGGTTTAAACCCAGAACGATTTCCCACAGCTCCAGAGTTAATGGAAGGTCTAGGCTGGGGCGCCATGCCAAGGTGAGGTGCTGGATGGCAGGGCCCCAGGAAACGGCCCTGATCACCCCATCACATGCCAAGCCCCTCACAGCCTCACCTTAGCTCTCTTTTCCAGCCAAAGTTCCTGAGGTCTGTTTACTGTTTACTGAGGGCTGGGCTGAAAACCACAGGGACCCAACCCAGGTCTGCCTTGAAAGAGAACTTGGCTGGCCACAGCTGAACTGGGAGACAGAGATGGGAGACCCCTCTCTTAGGCAGGAAGGAGGGTAACTTGATGACAGCGAATGGTTTTTCCTTCCACTTGAGTAACAAGTACAGTGAGAGGTAGAGAAAGGTGCCAGGGTACCAGAGGAAGTTCACGCCTGCCTGCCTCCCTCCTGATGCTGACAGGCTTGAGGATATGACAGACCGAGGTTGGAATGTGGCTTTGTTCACTCACTCATTGAACACTAATTTCTTTGAGTCAAGTGCAAAACAAAAAAAATGTGAAATTCCCTGTCAGCACGACTTTTTAAACTATTTATTTGGTTTCTTACGCCTCTTCCTCCCTTCTTCAACCCAGTACCTTCTAACACCCCAATACAAGGTAGAAAAGAAAGAAAGTTAGTAGGGAGAGGGGGCATAGGTCTCTTTTGCTACTTCCTGATGGCTAAGGTCCTTGGGTTCCTTGGGGCAAGTACAATCTTCGTTTCAGGATATCTCCAACTTCTCAACAAACTGCATCAACAGCAACCAGGAGCAGCAGGATCGGGGGACCATCAACAGCCTTCTTCCTTGGAGCCCCTCAATGTTCTGGGCTCTGACCTTTTTTCCCCCTTTCCAGAGTCCTAAGAGTTAAACTCCACACAGCTGGCAAAGAGCCCCTCTCAGAGCCTGCAAATAGTTTGCTGCTGTGGAGCATCTGAATCAGCCCCACATCAAAAACATGTTTACGTAACATAACTGAGTTTTTAAAGACACCAAAACTTCCACTACAGTTTGCTGTTTAAAAATATCAAGAGCAGCCGGGCTGTGGTGGTGCAGACCTTTAGTACTGGCCTCTGGAGGCAGAGGCAGGTGGATATCTAAGTTCAAGGTCAGCCTGGTCTACACAGTGAGTTCCAGGACAGCCAGGGGTACACAAAAGTAAAACATGTTTGTATATGGGGAGGTCGGCCAGCACGTAACGGTCCTTCACTGGTGGTATATATGCCTATAATTCTGGGAGGCTGAGGCTGGAGGATGTCAAATTCAAGGTCATCCCAAACCATGTAGCAAGCACCCTGTTAAGACAGTACATTTGGACTGAAGAGATGACTCTGGTTAAGGAACTTGGCTGCTCTGGCAGAAGTCCACGTGACGGCTCACAACTGTCTTTGTTTTGTTTTCGGGACAGTTTCTCTGTGTAGATCAGGCTGGCCTAGAATTCAGAGATATCCCCGCCTTCCTCTGCCTCCCAAGTGCAGGAATTAAAGACACAGGCCAGCATGCCTGCAACCTTTTTGGTACTACATAGGAAACCTGTGTACGTGGTACAGAGTTTATTGGGAGGCCGGAGAGTGATGGCAGTTGAGAAACTGTAACAGAGGTCCAAGCGGTAGAGATAAGTACAGGGCAGTAAGTGGGGCAGCTATGTGTGTGTGGTACGACCAGTGCCCGCCAGAGACGAAGTTCAAACACATTTTTATCCAATAACAACCAGCATTTACATGCAAATGTTTCGTTTATGCAAAACAACAAGGTCTCCTGGGAAGCTCTTTTAGACTCGAGCTGGTGAAGTCATTGAAAACGAAAAGCAAAGCTGTCCCCAGGGTACACCTCGTCTGCTTTGCCCCTGGGAGCTGGTCGAGTTCCCGGACCGAGAATCTGAATAGCTCAGGGCTCGCACTCCCAGGTGAGCAGCGCCGCTGCCTGGAGGGCAGCAGGCCGTCGGCGAAACTGCGCATGTCCGCTGGGGAGGCCAGTGCGCCTTAGTGCGCACGCGCCCTCCGGACCTTGACTCCTCCCCCCAGGGGCGGGGCAAGCGGGGCCCAAGATGGCCGCTCTCCGCTACCGTCGTTTCCTTAAGCTCTGTGAGGAATGGCCAGTGGACGAGACCAAACGGGGCCGGGACTTGGGCGCTTACCTGCGGCAGCGGGTAGCACAGGCCTTTCGGGAGGGAGAGAACACCCAGGTGACCGGAGGGGAAGAGGTTGGGGACGTCGGAGCGAGGGCCGGCGAGGGGGGCGGCGTGCGCATGCGTCGGCCTCCCTGCCGGGCCGCACGTGTGCGCGGTGACCCGCGTTCCAGTTCGCGGCGGGCTGCGACGCCCTTGTGTTTCCTTCCTCGGCCGCACCTTGCAGTGACCAGTGACGCCCCCCCCGAGGCCCCGAGGCCGCTTAAGAACCAGTGTAAGGCGGGGCTGTTTCTTGCGTGAGGTTGCCGCTGGGTGGGAGCCGAGCCCCTCCCCAGGGACCTCCGCCCGGGCGCCCGCCTAACGGTTCTGCTTCCGCCACCGCCGGGCTGTCACAGGTTTGCGTCTCCCACGCAGGTCCCTCGTGTGAGTCGTAGGCCTTTTCGCCCCGCAGTGGTCACGGGTTCCCATGCGAAGCGCGGACATGTGCCACGAACTGGGTTAGGCCCTGGGGGAGTCGGCAGTGAATTCGATAAGGCCGTGGCTTTGAGTTCTCCTTCGGGACCCAGGAATAAGCAGGCGCGGGAGACGGCCCCGAGGAGTACTGTGTCCCTGGGGCCTGCCTGAGGAAGTTACACAGAGTTAACCAAGCTCGAGGCGCAGGCACGCCGAGGAAGCCACACGGGCCAATTAGAGGAACCAAGCCTGAACGAAGGGGAGTGAGTGGCGTGTCCACAGCTAAGGTTTGATGCTGAAGGAAGGCGGGAGCCAGGCACCACACAGTTTTTAGGTTTCTGTTTTTTTTAATGTACGCGGCTATCTGTGCGCCATGTTAGTGCAGTGCCTGCGGAGGCCAGAAGAGGGCGTGGGAGCTCCTGAAACTGAAGTTAAACGAGTGGTTGTGAGCCACTGGCTGGGTACTAGGACCGGAACCTGGGTTCTTTTTAACTGCGCAGCCAGTTCAACCCTCCAGCCCCCCTAGTCAGATCTTATCAATTGGCCAGTGTGCCCAGATTTTAAGAAGTTACTCTCTAAATGGATTAGAAGACTAGAGAAACGAGGCCACGGATAAGCCTTCTGTGTCGCCCCTGCTGGTGGCTTGGAGAAGGGTGCAAGTCGCGTTGACAACGTAGATGTCCTGGCTGTGGGGTGAAAGGAAAGAGGAGCCAAGGACGGCACCTAGATTTTCCCCCTTTTTCTTTTTTTGGCTGGAGCAGCTGGGTGCCATTTACTGAAATGGGAAAGACTAGGCGAGGAGCAGGTGGGGTGTGGGAAAAAACGGCACGTTCGATGGTAGATGCTGTGACTTTGAGATGCCGCGGAGACTGACTTCCAAGTGGAAATGTCAAGTAGGCAGGAGGTCAGAGTGAGGCGCGCAGCACGCGTACCGGCGAAACAGATGACCCGTGAATGGACCACCACCTGCCAAAGCGTAACATGGAGACGTGCAGCCTGTTGCAGCCCAGCTAAACCAGCTCACCTTGCAAGTGAGACCACTCGGGTGGCAGCCTTGTGACCAGACTGTTGATGGTAACATGGATATGGCAGGTCTGGCCCGGGACTTTTGGGAGTCAGGGTGGGGGTGAGGCTGTCACTCTATACACTGGGTCCTCAAACGTCGTGTCTAGTGGTCGTCACTGGCCCATGTCCTGCGGAGTTCCAGGCACTGCTGACACAGCTTAGAGTTGGACAGCCAGAGGCTAGATACCTGGGGAAGAGAGACCGACACTCACCTATTTTATTGTTAGCATAAAACAGCCAGCCAGGAGGGGGGAGCTTTCTCTTTGGGAGTTGTTATCCTTTGTCATCAGAAACATCCTAGGGACGCAGTTTCTGATCAGCTGAGGCCCACACAGACTTGACTCATAGCTGCAAATACAAGTCGGCTTTACCAGTGCTTCCGCCAGCAGCTGATGGATGTGTTCTGGGTGGAGTGAACCAGGGCGTCCTGGTGGCAGCAGGCACATTACTTAGGACCTCTGTCGTAGCTCATCCTGATGTCACCTGAAATTGAGCCTGCCTGGGCTTAGTCAATCTTGGTGATGATTTTTGGTCCTTGGCTGGGCTAGAGAACAGTGTGTGAGTCACTCCCACTGCCACCCCCGGATCACTTATAAAAGACCTTGAGAAAGGAAGGTGGTTCTGAGAGACGCTTCATTAACCGACAGCAGAAGGCGGGGACAGGCCCCGGGGGTGGCTGAATGCTCTGCCCCCACCTTTCCGTCACTTGTCCAGAAAGTGGAACTGGAGGGGGTGGAGGCTGCTGTGTTGAGCAGCCTTGCTGAGACAGGTATCCTCCTGGCCTCTTGGCTTCCTGTGACCTAACAAGGACCTTAGCCGGTGCATAGAGCACTTGGCACATCTCCTCTGATTTTATCCTTTGTGCCACCAAGTGAAGCAGCCATTACTGTCCTGATTTTTACAGATACGAAGTCAAATCAGAAAAGTAAAACCACTGACTCAGGTCCCTTGACAATATAAGAGCAAGTAAACGGCTCAGCTGCTGTGCCCAGGTCTGCTGGCCCCTGCTGTCTGTCCTGTTGAGAGACCTCCTGTTAAGTTTCTTCTTGGAGCATCAAGTCCCTCCCATTCAGTGAGCAGACCTTTTGGATCACAGCAGTTGAGACAGAGAAAGAGCTCGGGCTACTTCCTTTACTCTGCTCCAATCACTGCGCCCCCCCCCCCCAGTGCAACAAGAAGGTGGTCCTGACCTCAGTGGGACAGCAGTGCAGAAAGGCAATTAGTAATTCAGACTGCAGACCTGAGCACAGAGCCCTCTGCCTCCTTAGCCACCAGAAGTTGCCCTTACCCTAAACCCAGCAGGAGGGAAGCTGGCCGCAGGAGCACATGGAGCACCTACCACCCTGTCTCCTGCTGTTCCCTTTTGAAGCTCAGGGTTGTGGGTCTTGTCTCCATTGAGCATAGTTTTCTTAAAGAGTCCTCATTCCCTGCAGCACCCAGAGCTTCACAAAAGCGTCTCAGCGTGGGGGAAGGGGCAAACAGCTGTGCTTATTGACTTAACTGCAGGCATAGAGCAGATCTCTCTAACGTGTTCAGGTGCAGGGCGGCTTTCCGAAAGCTCTGCCAGACCAGCCTAGCCAGCTCAGGCCACTCTGGGAAGGGTCTGGAGGTGCTGCTGCCTGGGGCGGGGAGTTAAAAGGTGGGCAAAGGAAAAAGATGTCAGGCTTTGCTGGATTTCTAGCACATCCTCAGAGAGAATCCAAGGCGTGTAAATGTCCAGGCAAGGCCTGACCCTCAGCATCTCAGTGGCTCAGGAGTATCAGCAGCCACTGAATCAGGCTTTGGGGACGTGGTCTGAGGACAGTATGCTCTTGCATCTGTATCTTGAGGGCACTACAAAAATGGTTTGTGAGGAAAGGACTGTAGGACCGACGGCTGCAGTGGATTGGCAGATCAGGGTGTTTGGAGCTGGGAGCTGTGTTGGTTCTTGTGTGCATAAAAGTGCAGCTGTTCCTCTCACAGGGGGTGAACGGCTGCTCTCAGTGGTCGCCACATCCTCATCCCTGAGCCTTCAGTGCCTGTCAGCCCATCGTGGCCAGGTCCAGCCTGGCTTCCCAGCCGTGCCTCTCACCTGACAGGATCTCACCCTCACAACCTGTACTTGCGGGCCCTTGCTTTGCCTTTAGAGCTTGAGTCTCTCTTAATCTTTGAGACCCAGCGACTTTAGACCACTCTACTCCACACATTAAAACCTGAGCACAGCTTGCCAACAGTCAGGTGGCTGCGGCCATGGAAGCCCCCCTCCTGAAACTGCTTGTCCCGAGCCCTCTCACAGCTCTCCTCCCATCCATCCGTGCTGCTCAAGCAGAGAGTTAGGGACCGTGTCTGCTCTATGCTCTGTGTGCCACGCCATCCTTTCTCTCACACCTGTCTTGTTCAGCTCTGCAGTACTGCCGTTTCCTGACTCCGCTCAGCTCCACACAGCTCAGTCTGGTTGGTTTTCAGTGCACATGTCTCTTGTCCCCTCAGTTTGACTGCTGGCTTCTCCTTCCTGCCCTCACCGTCTGCTCCCCTAGCCATGCACTGTCCATAGTAGGTGCTTAAGAAATGGATGTCTAGTTGCATTGACAGGAATGTGCTCCAAGACAGCATGGTTCGTGTTAGAAGTTCATTACGGAGTCAGGAAACCTCCTTACAGAGCCTCCTGGACCAGATCCAGCCCCACCTAATTAGCAGCACAGTCTGCAGCACCCTCCCCAACGTGCTTCTGCTCCCTTTGTGTGAGTGGAATAGGGGCCACAGTACGAATTGCTGTCACCACCCAAAATTCAATTTTGAAAATCGAAATCAGTGCCTACGGCACTGCTGTAGATTTGTATGTATAAAAGTTTAATATGGTAAAGAGAAATTTACTGACGGCTGAACAGGGAATGCAGAGGGAACGAGATGGAGCTGTAAAGGGCGCGTGTCTCGGAGCCTCCATTTCATTCCAGTTTGGGGAGCAGCGTTGAATTTTTCATAATGCCCATGTGCGGCTCTTTGTCCCAGAATGTCCATAATCTCATTAGGTGCAAATGCAAAATCCAGGTAATTTAAAGCTTTGTATGCAGGAGTCTTTCCTAAAACCCAGAGGACGTTTCATGAGAAATGCTGGGTATCCCAGGCTCCAGAGTGTTTGTGCTAGTCTATGAATAAGGTGTACGTGGGTACAGGACGAGGCTTTGGGAAGAAGACAGGGATCCCGTTGGCAGCTGTTAAGTAGGATTTTTAATTGCCAAGCTGCAGCCAGATGCAACACAGATCCTGGAATAGGCCATGTTGCTTGCTGTCTCTCCTTAGCCAGTAAGAATTTGCTAGGGATTGACATAATGCAAACTCCTAACACCTCACCTGTTAGGAAATTAGGTGACTGGCAGTTTTGTGATAACTAACTAGATCCCCAGGCTGGCCTTGAACTCACCATCCTCCTACCTTCTGAGTTCTGAGATTATAGACCTATGCCGCCATCCCTTGCTACAAAACTCCTTGAACACTGAGGGACAAAGGGCACTGAGGAGGTTGAGGTTCCCAGGGTCACCTCAGTTTTACAGCCAGGTCTGGTACAGTTGTGAGGGTGGCCGTGTCCTCTGCACTCATCCTGTCTGCTGCTGCCATCAGAGGCGAGTGAGCAGAGGACAGGATGAGACTCTCTTACTGCCGGGTGCAGGAAGAAGCAGAGCTGCTGGAAGAGGAGCAGGGCGGCCTCCACAGGGAGACTGCTGGGGCTCAGGGCTGGTTGCAAGTGCAGGTTGACCTGCAGGGCGCTAGGAAAGCAGTCTGATGGCGAGAGGGTAGGCGCAGATGAGCATCCATGAGAACAGCTTTTGGCAGATCCTCTTGCCTGGCCATGGAATACTTAGTGGCTGCCCAGAGGTGTCCAGGTCAGGTCCCGTCTGGCCTGGTGAGGCCTCTTGCACACTGCCAGTCAGACCCACTTTTTGGGTCCTTCCTGTGTCCCTGCTGGTCTCTGCTGGGTGTTTGCCCAGTCTTCCTTGGCCCTGCAGGGCCGCAGCACGCTGCACACGTTGCGTTGGTCTGTCTTCTTAGTCTGTGTTGTAAGGTGGGCCCCGGCCTGTGCCGGCAGCCCCGACGGACGCTGACTCTATCCCCTGGACCTGCGGGCCAGGGGCAGCCGCGCCCTCCTTCCTCCACCACCCTCGGGCGCAGGGCCATTAGTGTCACCCCTTTTAGTCAGCCTCACTGTAAACCTAGAGTGGCAACACATGGACGGTAGCTAGAGGAGGGCTGGGGCCCAGGGTGAAAGGCGAGCATCACGGCACAGGACGATGCAGCACACTGAGTAGTCCTCTGCCCTGTGAGGGTTTTCCCGATGGCCAGGATTGGAGTGTGGGCACGTGTTATTTGATAATGGTGTTCTATCCACGTTAGTTGTCCTGAGTGGTCACATGAGAGAAGGTCCGGGGTCTCAGGAAGAACATGCCCAAATTATGGGCAGAAAGGGCCCTGTAAGTAATCAGATTTTCACAAGAGCAATGTGAACGTGGCAATTTTCTTTAAGTGAATGGGCACAGGGTCAGTGATTTGCCCAGACATCCTGTAGCTGGTGAACAGTGGTGTCAGGATCCCACCCGGGCAGCTGCCCCAATGTCCCTGTGACCACAGAGGCTCACCAGGGCCATGAAGGCAGATGCCGTGTGCAGGCTGTGGAGAGCACAAGCAGAAGAAATGACCTTTCCTGTTGGTATTTAGGTGTTGTGTAACTCCTGTTTGAATGTGAAGCTGCATGTGTGGAGGTGTGTGCATGTCAATTTGCACATGTACATGAAGAGGTCAGAGGACGACTTCTGGTGTCATTCCTCAAGGGCTGTCCACCTTTTTTCTTCTCTCCCTCCCTCCTTTCTTTTCTCCCTTCCTTCTGAGATAGGTTCTCTCAGCTAGACAGGCCAGCCAGCACTGCAGTTATGAGCGTGAGCTTCCACACCCTGACATCTGACTTGAGAGGGATTTATTCTATGTCTGAGGCCCAAGCTTTGTGTGCTGCTTTCTTCTGTCTTCCAGTGGCCTACTCAAGAAGCAGTGTGCCTGCAGGCTGATAGCACACCTTTAATTCAGCATTCAGAAGGCAGGGGCAGAAGGAGCTCTGACTTCAGTGCTAGGCTGATCTAAATAGTGAGTTCCAGGACAGCCAGGACTATCTAGAGAGCCTGTCAGCATCTTCTCCCCCACCTCCAAAAAAAAAAAAAAAAAAAAAAGGCAGCAGTAGCAGCAGTGTGCCAAATGCTCTCTCCTTGGAGAACATGGCTGCTGCCCTCTGTCCTGCTAGCCCTAGTCAGGGAGAACTGCCAGCCCCACATTTCTCCCTGTTTTGTACCCTATAATTAATGTCTTTGTTATGGAGCTCACCCTAGTCTCAGCCCACGGCCCTTCTCCACTGGTGGCTTCTGGACAGCCCCTGCCAGCCTTGAGCAGGAGTTCATCTACAGAAAGGAAAGCGTCTCTGATCCTGCGTTGGCTGAGAGCTGGGACCTCACTTGACACACAGGCAGAAGAGGGCTTAACTCCTGATTTATTTATATGCTCACTCTTTAAGAATGGATTTAAGTCAGGAAAAAAAAAAAAGCTGTCATTTGTATTCTGGGAAAACTACAAAAGAGAGTTTTGTTCTGGGAGCTTTCAGAGTTGCTTGCAGAGAAATGTAATGAGATACAGAGACAAATGGCAAGGGTGGAGAAAAGGAAGGGTTAAATAGAAAGGTCTGAAAGGCAGGAAGCCTGTCTTCCTAATGTCCAATAGGGCTTGCCTGCCTTCCTGGATGGGCACCGGGTGCTTGCTTTCTGCTTCCCTCTGGGCCTCCTTCCTGGCTGCACACAGCTGGAGGCTGGCTGGGTCCTGCTTGGCTCATCTGTTTTGCAGCATGACCCCTGTTCTTCTCAAAACAGTGTCTGTACAGGCCAGGGTCTGCTGGAGTCCCATGTAGCCCAGGCTACCTTCACACAGCTACCCTGCCCACGTGCTGGCATTGCAGGTGTGTCCTGTTCCCCGGCCGGCTTCCTCCCTTGCAGTCTTAGCAGCTCCTTGCATAGAGATGAAAGTGCAGGTTTCATTTGTTCATTGTTGTTTGGTCTTTTCATAAAAGAGTAAGACCTCTATACTGATGTCATTTCACAAAGCTTCTTCCCCTCACTGCAGGCTTTCTCAGGCCCCTGGGCCTCAGGCAGACGCAGGTGCTCTGCATCCTCCACGGTCCCTTCCACCAGGAGGGAGGCCTTTCTTCCCCTGCCATCACTTGAACTTCTTTCTGAATCCCTGGAGCCCACATTGCCCCCAGCATGTTCTTTGCAGCCCACAGCTGGCGTGGTAGTTCTGAAGGTGCAAAGAACTGCTGAACACTTTTGTTTGTTTGTTGAGGGCTCAGGGATCCTGCAGGTCGGGCGGGTGAGGTGGGGCCCTTCATCCACAAAGGTGACTTCTCACGGCAGCTGTAGGAGGCTTGCTTCCCACAGACCCGGGACAGCAGTGCCCTCCTCTGTGACTGCGTTGTTACACTCAGCCCTCGCTCAAGGTAGTGGTGCAGCGTGGGCCCACACCTCCGCTCACTTCCCTGGGGGCACACTGTCTTTCAGATTGCAGAACCTGAGGCCTGTGATCAGATGTACGAAAGCTTAGCACGACTGCATTCAAACTACTACAAACACAAGGTGAGTGGGCGCAGGCTTCTGTACCCCGCCTCGGATGGGAGGACCAGGCGAACGGGTGAAAAGCTGATTATACCGTGTTTGTAAAGAATTGTGTTTGTGACTTTCAGTGTAGCCAGGACTTTCTGCTAAGCCAGTGATGGTGCCCAGCCGAGGCCTTTAAAGATCCCCTGAAAAAAGCCATCCTTCTGTGTGCCTTCGAGCACATGCTCCTGCTCATGTTTCCCACGCAGTAACGGAGCTGATGTCACACGCTGAGAAAGATGGAGTCCTAGGACAGCCCTGTCACATCAGGCTTATCCTCAGCCTTGACATGGCTACTGTCACATTTCACGTAGCGTGGTTTCCCAGACTTGAAAACATGCTCAGCAGCTCCACCAATAGACATGGCCAAATGGGGCAGCCTGTGTGCAGAGGGACTCCTTCCAGACGCTGGCTACGGAGTGTCCCTGCGCAGTTAGGAGAAGTGCCTGGGCCTGCCTGAATTCTCTACAGTGCTGGCTGGAAGGAGTCCTGGCCTCCAGATGGCGCCACCCCTCTCACTGCCAGGCTTCCAGCCTCTCCCGCCAGCCAGAGCAAGGCCACTGTCCTACAGAACTAATGTGCCCTTCTCTCTGCCCTGTGCCAGTACCCTCGCCCCAGAGACACCAGCTTCAGTGGCCTGTCTGTGGAAGAGTACAAGCTGATCCTGTCCACAGGTATGAAGGCGCCCCTGCCGCCCCTGGTTGGTTCGCCCTGAGCCTAAGAGGCTGAGGAGGATTGCCCAATTAGACAGTTTTGTATGATGGAAAGCTTTGAATAGCCAGGGGAAATCCTGAAGCTCATATGCTTGAGGGCTCATATGCTTGAGCCACAGATCCTGGGAAAGGTCAAAGGCATTATTTAGAAGAGAAAATCATCTTTAATACTTTTAATTCAAGGCTGGTGGCTGCAAACAAGGGACTACATGTTAGCCAAATGGAAGTCATTGGAATCAGGGTGGAAGGAAAATAATTTTATTTTTATGGTCCTAAGGGGGTTTTGTAAACAATGAGGCTTTTAATTAAAACAAAAAGCCATTCAGTAAACGAGTATGGGGATATCCGCCTGTGAGTTATCTGTCCCAGGAGATGTGGTCTGCAGGTTTGATAGGAGTCTTAACGAGGTCTGTTTGGGAGTCATGACTAGAGCTCAGTTGGTGGGAAGGAAGCCCTGCCAGTCAGCCCCTCCTTACTTCCCCATTTCCATTGTCACTGAAAAGGTTGGGGACAGGGTCAGAGCAGGTAGGTACTGGGAAATTGCTATTTTTATTGCCAAGGATATTGTATATAAAAATAGGCTAAGCTTTTCTGGGAGGGCATGGCCCTCAGACATTGGCTGTCTGGCACTCTAGAAATCTCCCTTCCTCTTGGCAGTGGAGAGTCAACCTGCTAGAATGCTTTCCCTTCTGAGCAGATGGGAGCCTGGTAGTATCCTCTGCTGTGTCTGTGCTGACTCCCGCCAGGCATCTCTCTGTGCTGGTTGCTTCTCTCGTCTATAATTTGACTCCCACATCCCTGATGATGTCATCACCAGCAGTGATGGAGTGTCTTTGTGAAGGATCTGAGAGTGAACTTATTATCATGGACTTGGTTCCAGCCATCTTGTGCCTGTCCCTTTTGCCAGACCGCAGGGAGCCTGGTGACTGCCGGTCTGGCGTTAAGTTGACCCAGGAAACTGGCAGTGTGCCCACAGCAGACCCCACATTTGTGTTGCGGTTGTGTGGAGCCGGCCTGCAGTGTGGCCACGCTGTCTACCGGGTCCTTAGTGTATAGGACGGCAGCCAGCCCAGCGCCACGCTTTGTGAAGTCCCAGGGTGGGAGGCTGTGCTGGTGGCTGCCACACAGTGAGTGTTCCAAGCTGGTGTGGAGCCACTGCCCATAAACGAACTCAGGCCGTCGTGTTTGTTAACATTGAGCCTGATAGTGTCTGAACTTGATATTTAGAGATTATAAAATGAGAGGTCTCAAATCACTAGCTCTCTGCTAGGACATGCTTTGTGCCCCATGAACATGTTGCTATGTCTGGAGACATTTGGGTCTGTCACAGTTGGGGTGGGGCGGTGAGCCATGTTGGTGACTAGAGGCCAGAATGCTGACACGGGACCACCCCAAGGAGCACCCCCCCAGCCCAAGCTCTCGGCTTAGGGAAGAGCTGCGTGTATTATTGTGTGTGCAGGCGGGTAGGGATGAGACAGTTTGTTTAGCTTTGGCTGTCCTCCACTCACTGTACAGACCAGGCTGATCTTGAACTCGGTTATCCACCTTCCTCTGCCTCCTGAGTGCAGGGATTAAAGGCGTGTACCACTTGCCAGCTGGCTCGTGTGTGGCTCTTAAGCATGGTTCTGTCCACATGCACACGCGTACCCCGCCACCATTGTGAAGGTATGACCTTTCTGTCCAGTGCTGGACATGTTGCCACAGACCCAGCGTGGCAGCTCTGTAGTCTCGTCCTGGTTGTCCAGTTGAACTTAAGGTTGTAAGGGCTCAGGGTCTGTATGGCCAGTGATGGCCACTCTTCGAGGTATACAACCATTGCCTGGTGGACAAAGGAAGCAGAGCATGCTTCTGGGGACAAGCCCTGTGAGCCCCCTCATGCTCAAGTGCAAGAAGACTCAGCCTGTTCTCTTTCCCTGTGCAGACACTTTGGATGAGATTCAAGAGATAAATAAGAGCATGTGGAAGAAACTGCAGGAGAAGTTTGCACCCACAAGGCCAGAGGAGAAGCATAAAATGTGGGCCAGGGCCTTGTCCCGCCCACGCACCTGATGCGGGACCTTCTGATGCTCATCAATAAAACTGCCTCGTTTCTCCCACCCTCCTGGTTTGGATCTCTCTCATATGCCCATCAGGCTGCTCTGGGCTGTTAGCCTGAGCGGGTAGGTTGTGTAACGTACAGGCCAGAGCTGCTCCTGAGCAGAGGGAATGCAGGTCCCTCAAAACCAGAGGCCTGCAGCCCCAGGGAGGGTTCTCAGGCTCCCTGCTGTGTTGGAGCAGCTGGCATCTTGTAGCAAACATCAACAGGGAAGAGGAGGCTGAGGCGTGGGCACCCCTCCTGGCCCGCTGACTTAGAAGACGGCAGAGCTGTAACCAAGCCTTAGCTGGTGCGGCGTCGGCGCTGGGCAGGTTCTGTGGAGGCTTCCGGACACAGGACACCTTACGCTGACTGCTTGGAATCTCACTTCTGTTAGGTGCACACATCCTACTTGGATGTCCTGCAAGTGGCCCAGGGGTTGGAGCCCAGTGGAGCCCATCAAGTAACCAGAGCCCGGGGAGATAGCCTTTAGCATCCTGAGCCTGAGGGGAGGACAGGCCTCCTGAAAGTTGGCCCCTGTGGCCTCCGACTGTGCGGGAAGCAGAAGCACAGCCCCATCGGTGGGCTTGGATTCTGTTTATTTAAGGCAGTTAACATTAGTTCCCCGGACACAGGACTTGTAAAACGTTGCCCCAACAAGAGGCAAGCAGTCAGACGCCACTTTCACACCTTCAGTCTTTGTCTCTTGCCTACAAAGCTGGGGAAGATGTGAGTCCTAGGTGCAAAGCAGTCCACCTGCGTCTTCAGGCTACTAGGACAGCAGTGTCCCCAGCAAGCACAGGCACTGGGAGCTGTGCGGGCACAGCAGGGTGGGGCGGCCCCGGGAATAAGTTAAGTATCAAAGCCCTAAGTAGCTAATGACAGCAGGCTACCACCTTCCTGAGGCAGGAGGGAAGGCAGGCAGGCAGGCTGGGGACAGCCACAGTGTAGTGCTTGGAGATGAGAGGCAGCCCACTCGCAACCACGTGTGAGGAGGGTCAGTTACTGCTCCGAGGGACAGCACTCTGGAGGACCTAGCATCCTCTAAGGCACTAAGGTAAACTGAGTCCCTTCAAGGGTACTCGGCAGGACTGCTCTGAGGCATCCTGCTGGGCAGAGCCTGGCTTGGGCAGGGGCCTGCCAGCAGAGGTGGCGGTGGGGTGGGCAGCTAGCTTCCAGAGCTGAAGAGCCCCTGACCTGAAGAGCAGTGCTGTTCGCAGCGGATCTCCTGTGAGGGCTTCAGTGGCTCCTGTCAGCGGCTCATGCAGTTCTGCACATCCACAAAGCCCAGACGTTGCCTCCGTTTCCGCTGCTCTGTCATCTGAGTTAAACAAGTCTTGTCAGGTAGCCTAGCTCCCTTCTCCACCGCACTGGGAATGGCTGCATCTTCCCCAAAGGGCCCAGCTGCCCTTCAGCACTGCTGGTAGGTGGCCACCCCCGACCTCCAGGGTGTCTTCCGTTTGGCATGTCAAACCCTAGACTGGGTGCAGCCAGGACGCTGCAGCATCTACAGGAGGGGCATTGCAGCCACACTGCGCAGCTGCGCTGCACGCCTAGGAAGTTCCCATCAGAATGCACCCTCGGGGGGGCCCTGCCTGGCTGCTGCGGGAAGCAAGGACCACGGGGGGGGGGGGGAGGGCTCGCACCTGGACCAGGTTCCCTATGGCTGATGGCCCTGCCCACATGGCCCAGAGCTTGGGAACACACCTGCTCCTTGAGCTCGTTGAGCTGGGCGGTGAGGTGTGACACCAGCTTCATGGTGGAGCCCAGCTTCTCCTGCAGGATTCGGATCTCGTTCTGCTCCCCCTCCCCCTCGCTGCTCACCAGCGACATGGCGCGCATCCGGGGAAACCAGTCCAGGTTCTTGTTCTAGAACAGTGTGAGGTGAGGACCCATGAGGCGTTGCTCAGAGAAGGCCACATCCTTTGCCAGATGGCTAGCAGGCAGTGTGTCACCAGAATGTCTGAACTGGCTTGCAGCCTCCCTGGCAGACAGGAGGAAGCCAGGGGTGGGCTCCCATCATGGTAGCCGGCTGCCTTCCGTGAGGTGGCCCTGTCCTCTAGGAAGGCCTTCGCCAGCGCCTCTGCCTTCTGCTCACTCCCTGCCAAAGCCAGGGTGCAGCAAGGCCAAGGCCCACATACGTGCATGCCCCATGTCCACCTAGGAAGGCTGCCATCTGACACGGGCCAGAGAAGGAAAGCCATGTTTCCTGGGATAGAGGAAGAGGCAGGAAGGAGGGGCACCAGCCAAGCAGTTTTCTGGTTCCCTGTCACAAGCTGTGAATTCTCGGAGCAACAGATAAACCTCTCGAGACAAAACCTCTTCACTGCCGCCATGACTGTGGAAACTGGAAGGATTATGTTTAATTCCTCTAAGCCTGGGATTTTTAAGCTTTTCCAGGGTTTCTCTCTGGAACAATGCTGACTTTCAGGAGCCATCCTCCCTTGCTGTGCCTTCTAAAAGAGGCCCCATCACGATCAACGGCCCTTGGTGGGATTTCCCCCCATCTCCCCTCCTCCAGTGCTGCTGTTCCCCAGAGCACATGTACCGTGCTCCTCCAGGGTTGATGGGGTCACTGCAAGCTTGCTTTCTCCTCACCCCAGAAGAGTGAGTGCTCGGATGCCCGGCAGGCTCTCTGCACGTCGAGGGCGGCCCCAGCTGCTCCTCGCTCCCTGGCTGGCCCGCAGCCGCCGCAGCTGTCAGCCCTCAGGCCACGGCCAGCAGATGTGGCGTGTCCTCCCAGGTGGACAGGCCGGGCGTGTGCATACGCACTCTCACCTTGATCATCTGAGCCACGTAGCTCTCGGGGCCCGTGTAGTCCGTCTTGTTCTTAACGCGGACCAGCACTATGAAGTACAGGTAGTTCCACATGTTGTGTTCCAGCTTGATGTGCTCCTCAAAGGACACCGTCTTGTTGTCAAACTTGTCCCTCTCCAGACCTGGGGGCAGGCGGAGGGGCGACGGACCCATTACCCAAGGGCCACCACCCTGGACCATCTGGGTCACTCTATTCTAGCTCCTCAATGCCCCCCCCCTCCCCAGCTGCAGCCTTCCCGCAGAGCAGCTGGAGGCCCTGGGAGCAACGGCAGGATTGCCTGAGCCCAGGGGCGACAGGACCAGCTCAGTCAGCAGTGTGACCTGCTGGGGACCCCTGCTCATTGGGCCCTGGCGACGGCATGACTAGGTTTAGATGGAACAACAGACTGAAACCAGAAGTCTGAGACCACGGCAGCCACAGGTTCCTCCTTTGGAGCCTCAAGGGCTTGAAGGGCTGCCCGGGTCCTGCTGGTCCCGGCAGGCCAGGTCAGCAAGGATGGGACTGGGTCGACGCGGCTTAGAGGCCAGGAAGCAGCTGTGCAGCGAGGAAGTGGGCCTCACCACAGATGAAGCACGTGGTCTTGAGGATCTCCTCTTTCTTCTGCTTCTCGCTGCGCAGGTCGGCAAAGGTGTCAATGATCACCCCAAAGATGAGGTTGAGTACGATGATGATGACGATGAAGAAGAACAAGAGGTCGTACACCACCCGGGCGGGGAAGAGGGACTCCTGCAGAGCGAGGGGGCACCGGAAGGACACAGTTCAGCAGGGAAGGTGTGGCTCTGGACACTGCCAGCCCCGAGAGAAATATAAGGTCACTGCCAGCCTTAGGCTCCCACATCTGTCAAGTAGAAAGAAGCCGGGAGCTGACATTTGGAAAGGACCGGCCAGGAGGAAGCCCTTGGAAGTCCATCACGTGTGGCAAGTCCTGCTATGAGACGAGGGTAAAAGGGAGAGCAGCTGTGAGCTCCTAGGTCAGCATCCGGGAGGCCAGACCTCCCCCTTCCAGAACCTTTGTCTGGCCAGAGAGGACTTCTAAGCAACTGGGAGTTGAGAGACACAGGGCTGCTGGCTGCCCAAGCCAAGTCCTGAGGCTTCGCCTTGCCCTTGCTCTGGGATGAGGAAGCCAGTGGTGACCCATGGCTCACTCCTTCCCAAACGTCAGAGCCAAAGCTGGCTGCCGTGGTGGCCCTCCTAGCACAGTGAGCCAGTGGCGTGGGGTGAGAGGCTGACAGCTCTGGCTGGGTGTGGGAAGCAGGGAGCATTCACACAAGTGGGTGGGATGGTCGGTGTGGAGGGAGTCCGGCCGGGGCCGGAGGGCAGGGCAAGGCAAGGGTGCTCACGTCTTTGGAGGGCTTCCGGAGGATGTCGCCCACGCCACCACCATTCCGCAGTCCGTGGTTCATGACGGTGACAATGCACATAAGTAGAGTGTCACAGGCCCGCTCTGTGCTGTCTGGCTCCTCGTCCTCTGTGGGCAGGCAGTGTGCTCAGACCCGGGCTGCCCATGCTGCCACACCCACTCCGCGGGCGCCACAGACTTACCTTCTGGGACCTCAGGCACTGAGACCTCCGGGACACAGTCCATCTTGTCTCCACTACATGTGCCCACAAACGTAGCAGCTCCGTGTGGCATCCCGAGGGTGCTGGCTGGAAAGAACAGCAACAAGGTCACAGGGAGCTCAGCTGTCTGACCGTAGCATCTCTCTAGTCGGCCCTGAGACTCATCCCCCCCCCGTCCTGCTGGCTCATCCTACAGACAGGAGTGTGTCTGTGACTCTGGCCTGGCCAGGCAGGCCCTGCAAACACCAAACTATGTGAATGACAGGTCTGCAAGGGTGAGCTCAAGCCACAGGCTTTCAAGGCTCACTTTCTGACTGCCATGAGCTAGATCATTCATAGGGATCCAGGTTGGTGCAGGCTGGACCTCTCCAAAAGCTGCCAGGAGGAAGGCAGGGAGCCTGGAGGAACAAGCGTGGCCTGCCTGATGCCGACGCCAGTCCCCTGTGCCTGTCCACTGTCCCCGCACACCCACCCCGGAAAGGAAGTCCCCAAGACCTCTGGAGTGGTTCCCGGGCAGTCGATCCACCTCCAGGATGAAGTCATCCTTGAGGAAGAGGAAGCCCACGATGGAGAAGAGGTACACAAGGATAAGGGCCAGGAGGGCGGTTAGCAGGATGGAGCGGCCATTGCGGGTCACACTCTTG